TCTGGCTGGGGCTATAGCAGTGATTGGCTTTTCCAACATGACAAGGACAAATGGGTAGGGGCTGCTCAGGATGGCACTCCCAGGTAGGAGGACACAATGTCCCCCAGCTGTCAGCAGAAAACAAAGTGACATGTTACTCACTGGTTCTTTTTGTGTTGGAAAGACAATCCAGCAGCGTCCAGACTGGGGGGATGAAATGCTTCTGGTGCCAGGAGCTTCACACTGTATGCCCTTCTGTGTTGGAATGAGAAGTGAGACACAAAAATGAGAGAGAATGAAAACTTACTTGTTGAAGGCCTTCACCATGTGTTCACAATGGTCCTGGGGCATAGGTTTATCTTCATCTCACAGAATTTTTCTTTCCATAGCAGCTTCAAAAGCTTTCCCAAAGCCCCGGCTGAGAGGGAGATCACAGGGTTGGGCACCAGTATCGGTGAAAAGAACTGGCCCCTCTCACCAACTGCAAAGAGGACTAGCTCTCCATCTGCTGTGGACCAGCAGCACCAGTCACCTGCTGCTTCTGAAGGGCCTCAAAGCACTGATACACAGCCCATAACTCAGCCTGAAGGTGACCCCAGAGAGCCAGAGTTGGAAAACACCAGCCCGGACTCCGGGATGCTCAGCACAGCACCTCCAGTGAAGGCAAAGAAAAAGACCCCAGAGGATATTAAGTCAGAGGCTCTGGCAAAAGAAATTGTCCACAAAGACAAGTCCCTGGCAGATATCCTGGATCCAGATTCCAAAATGAAGACTACCATGGACTTAATGGAAGGGATTTTCCCCAGTGGAGCCAGCTTGCTGAAGGAGAACAACATGAAGAGGAAGATGTCGCAGAAGCAAGTCAGCAGGACGGCTGTCGGGGAAGACACGTAAGCACTGCGGGAGCGGGATGAGGGCTGGCACAACTCCCTGCTCCCTCACTTTTAAGGCCAACCTGTGCCCAGTGTGTCTGCATTTCTGCAGGTGGGCTCTGGTGGAGAACAAGTTCCGCAGTTCCCAGGTGCAGGGCCTGGCAGGGCAGTTCCAAATACCTTTTCTCATGGGCTGTGTGGAAGGCAATGCTGAGCTTGGTAACGGGAGGAGATGAACCAGCCCTGGAGATGTTACTTGATTTTGCTCTCTGGACCTTCGCAAGCTGAAGCAATTCAGTCCAAAGTGCAGGAACAGACACGAGAGTAAAATCCAGATGAAAATAATGACAGGCAGAAAGATAACGAGAGGCCAGATTTTGGAAGGAGGCTTGAGGGGACCTGCTTACTGCAGGGTCAGCCCAAGTCCTCCAGTGTGGGGTTTTTTTAAGATAGAAGCTGCCAAGTGGCAGCTGGAGAACCATCCAGGAATCAGTTGTGCTGCACCATGCCAGCTGAGATGGCCGGTCTGGCCACCTCCAGCCGAGCTGTGCTGACTGACCCCCAGCAAGGTAAAGCCTGTCCAGGGCTGTAAGCAGTCACCTTTAAACCCAAGGGCTGTGCTGGGCTGTGACAGCAGCTGACACGCCCCCTCTGGTGGCAGGAATCCGCCTTGTCCTTGTGGGTAATGACACTGGGAAGGTACCAAACGGGCAGTGCTGGAAAACCATGGATCTAGGCACGGGGAAAAGTCAGGCTCAGACTGAACTCCTCCTTTTTCTTCACTGTGGTGTAGGAGAGAGGAAAAGGAGGCTCCCGTCACCCTGGTCACCTGTCCTGCTTATTACAGCGTTTCAGCACCCAAAGCAGAGCTGCTGAATAAAATCAAGGACTTGCCAGAAGAAGTAGGTGAGGAAGAGGAGCTGCTGGACATCAATGAAAAGAAGGTAAATTCAGCACACACTATCACTGGCTGCTTACATTCCTGAAATAACAATAAGCCCTACAGTGAAGTGCATTTCTATTTGGCAGCTTTTGGCAGCTCTCAAGTTGCGTGGGAGCGTTTAGGCCACCGGTGAAGCTTCATTAGAGTGACCCAAATGGAATGAAGAGAGTTGATCTGAGTACTCACTGCAAACTTGAGTACAAATCTTGCACCACCCCGAGGCAGGCCTGTCCCATGTCAAATGCTGGGTGTACAGGCTGTAAGGAGCAGTCCCGATCCTGTAGCAAGGAAGGAAAAAGGAGAGGTAAAACAACTTGAGCAAGGCCAGCTCAGTTTGAAACAGGAACAGAGTTTAGCTAGTGACTGCACTGTCTGAGGGCAGGAGGTTTTCCCCTGAGATTTTCCTCTTCAGTGAAGCCAGTTCACCCATTTCACCTGCTGTCTGTACTTATTGCTTCCAAAGAAACATTGGTTTCTCTTTTTCCCCCACACTTTGTTTCTCTGACCCACTGAAAGCCACAGGGACCTTAGTGGTTCAACCTCCATGTGATGGCTTGGGAGGGAAGAGAGCAGGGCAGGAGGGGAGGAAACATTTTCCTCTCTCGTTGAGGCTACATTTCACTGAAGAATGGCCCCTCCATTTCTCGCTGGAGGCTTCTGTGTCCTACCTTCCAGGGCTTTTGCAGGGCCTTCTAATTTGCCCCTGTGGTTGTCTCACATTAATTACTTGGTAATTACAGACATGCTGCCTAGCTCCCAAATCCTGAGGAGCCACAGGGATTGGGAGTGACTAAACAAGATGAAGATGCTGCAAGCGTCTGACAGGCTTGCAAGTAGCTGTGAGCCTGCCATGGACAGCCAGGCCTCAGAGGTTACATTTGCATGGAAAACCAGAAATAGATGGGAGTGATTAGGCCCAGGCAGCACAATCTGCCCGGTGTGTTTGCTCATGGTCTGTGTGCAAGAACATTCTCACAAGGGTTACCTGAGAAGCAGCTCCTCTGGAAGGTCATGTGGCTAAACCGAGTTCATTTGCACTGTAAGCATGCAAAGGTTGGCTGGCATTTGGGATCGCAGGAGAGTCACTGATTAACAAACACCAAAGTATTTTTTGCAGGCCCCTCCAGCTCCCCCACCTTCCGAACAAAGGTACAGCACTGCCAGCAGTCCCTGCCTCCTGCTTTGGAGGGCAAAGCTCCTGGAGCAGGGAGGAACAGCATCACAGCCCCTGGGAAGGACAGGTGTTAGGCTTTGTCTCTGGGCACTGCTGAAGGGAGAATCCACAGAAAGGAGTTCCTTTTGATTTAGTACCACCTTTGCTGCCTCTGCCCCAGAACTCCCCTGCACCAATGGAGTGACTTAGTGGTCATTCCGGGGAGCTGATGTTTATTTTAAGGGAATATTCCTCACCTTTTGTTCAGCCTCTGCGTGTGTGTGGCAGCTGAGAGCAGGCTGTAATGCAACCACAGAACAAAGCACACCAAGTGTTCCATCTAGTGGTGCCTGGCCATACACTGCCGTGTGCTTCCCATTGCCAGCCCAGCCTTGGGACCCCACTGAGAGGCCACCGTGGGCATCAGGGCCAGCTCAGTGATCCTCCCTGCCTCACCAGTGCTTGAAGATCCTTCCCCCACTGGAGCAGACTGCTTCTGCCTGCAGTGACACTCAGTTTGGATGGAAACAGGACTGTGAGACAGTATTTTCACAGGAGATTAACACACGGGTAATGGGGCCTCAGCAGTGCACAAGCTGGAGACACTGAAAATCCTCACCCCTTGTAGGAAGAGCTTTTCCTGCTCGCAGTTCTGAGTAAATGGAAGCAAGAATTGCGAGCCCCAGGCCACAGACTTGCTTTTGCATATGTCTTTCCACTAAATCCTAACAGAAATTAGGATCTTGGGCACATGTGCAGCAGTGCTGTCTGTGGAGTAACCGAAGCCCGGGGGCCTCCTTTTCTTTGGCAGGGAAATAGTTGCCAGCATTTTTCTTAGAATGGGTTTGTGCTCTCTGTGTCTTTGCTTAGACACTGAGTAAACTTAGAGCATCATTGGTGTCAACTCTTCGTTGATGTCTCTGTGTGGGAGGCAGTTGTTTTGTACAGTTCAAGACGTTTCAGGCTGGGGCAGGGAGTGGGGAACATGCCGGAGATGCGGCTGCAGCTCTTTTCACTTGAAGGTTTTAAAGAACATACATCTTTCAGCTGTAGGTAGCTGGGTATCAGAACATGGTACACCAAGTCTGAGATCTCTTCTATAAATGTTCATGGAGCACATACACGTTCACACAATCTAGTCAGCTACCTGGATTAAGTCCTAGATGAGGAATTCCAGTGTTCTCTCCGTTTCCTCCTTACAATCTTCTTTGTCAGCTGTTGCTGACATGACCCTGCTCCTCAGGAACCACAGCCATATCCTCCTGTTGTCGTCATCCATGTGGTCAGGGTGATGGTAGCAATGTGTTTCCCCTCTGACAGGCTGAGCTCATCGGGAGCTTGACCCACAAACTGGAAATCCTGAAGGAAGCCAAGGAGGGCCTGCTCGCAGACATTAAGATGAATAACGCCCTCGGAGAGGAGGTGGAGCTGTTGATCAGCACGCTGTGCAAACCCAACGAGTTTGACAAGTACAAGATGTTCATTGGCGATCTGGATAAGGTGGTGAACCTCTTGCTCTCCCTCTCGGGACGCCTGGCCCGTGTGGAGAACGTTCTGAGTAGTCTGGGGGAAAATGCCAACAGTGAGGAGCGGGTACGTATCCGTGGTGTCTGGCCTTACTGGGATGTGGGGCAGCAGCAGCCATCACAACAGCATACCTTACAAGGACTTCCAAGGGCTGCCAGGAAGGTAGCACAGGTGTCCTGGAGCTTATGGATGAGCAGTAGCAAATGCAGGGTTTGTCCCTGGGAACCTGGATCCTGGTCTGTATAAATGTCAGGGATCCTGTGGCTTTTGTCTCGCCGCAGAAGGGCCATGCTGGGGACAGCCTGTCTGTGCCCCGTGGCCAGAGGAAAGCTTGGATGGTGCTGTGCCTCCTGGAATAACCCACTCAGTTAAAGCCACATTTTAACATTCTTTGGGTGGTTTTTGAAAAGGCAAAGCTGGGTTTTCCTGGTAGTTGTTGCTTTCAGGCAAGTTTTACTGACTTCCTTGGAGCACTTTCTGCCTCCCATTGACTCGAACATTCAGAGTCTGATTCAGTGGGATTCACATTCAATCCATAATGAAGGATTCATCCTCCTCTCCAGGCTTTTGACTGCGTGTCTGGGAGCATGGCAGCCAGCCGTGGAGGTGGTGCTGGGAGGAAGGAGGGGGGGAGCAGGGATTTTGGTGCTGCTGGTGCTGAAGGGCTCTCTCTGGTGTGTGCAGAGCTCGCTGAACGAGAAGAGGAAGCTGCTGGCTGGCCAGCACGAAGACGCCCGGGAACTCAAGGAAAACCTTGACCGTCGGGAACGGGTGGTCTTGGAGATCCTGGGCAACTACCTCTCTGAGGAGCAGCTCCAGGATTACCAGCACTTTGTGAAGATGAAGTCTGCACTCCTCATCGAGCAGCGGGAGCTGGACGATAAAATCAAACTGGGCCAGGAGCAGCTCAAGTGCCTCATGGAAAGCCTCCCCACAGACTTCACACCCAGGGATGCAGCGGCAGCAGCTGCCCTGGCTGCAGCACTTGCTACCTCCGCGGGGGTCGGTGGTAAAACACCTCCAGCAGCCTCTTCCTCATGCTAACCTGTCCCAGATGGACCTGGGACACGGTTCTGCTCCAGTCTGTTTAATCCAAGTACTTGGCAGATGGTTCTCTACAAAGACAATGAAAGGAGACAGGTTTAAAACAAGATTTTAATGAAGGAAAAAAAAATAGCAATAATAAAGGTTTTGTTTTCCTTTCCTTCCACCTCTGCTTCCTGGAAAGTTACATCAATGTGGAGGGAAATCTCCTCCTGCCAGAGATAAGGAAGAGTCTCACAAGAATTAAACACATGACCTTTAATAAAACACATAACCTCTTCTCTTCCTGCCCTTTCCTGCCTACCTGGCACCTCATTAAATAATGAAGGATCTAAAAGAATGAAGCCTTAAAAATAAAACCAACCCATTTTACTGAACATTATTGATATTTATATTTTTTAAACAACAAGACAGAATGTGTAAGTTTTTGTACATACTCTAATCAGTTACTTGATTCTACTTTGTTCTGTACGTAGAAAAAGACATTTAATTTTGTATTTTGTGAAGACCTTAACAAAAAGAGGGAACCCCAAAGATAGTCATGCAGTAGCTTGGAACATCTCATCGTGGTTTTGTTGCTATTGTTGTGGTTGTTTTTTAATATAATAAAGGGCTACCAGAAGCAGCTTCACCCTGTTTCAACACATGCTAAATATACCATTAAGTGGCCTTGTGAAGGAGATTTTGGCCAGGAAAATACAATCTTTCCTCTTCTGGATCTTGTGATCCTCTGAATCTGGACTTTAAACATCTTTTATGGCAACCTGCATCTCAGGAGTCCAAGTTAGCCAGAAGTAAGGAACTCACTGCAGGAACAGGGAGGGAATTCTGTCTTGGTTTTGAATCATCAGAACCGTGATCCGTGCTTCTGTTGCAGCCTGAAGGGTCTCCCTGAGATGTGTCAGGAATCTCTACTGACAGGATTCATAGGCCTGGTTTTGTGAGGGGATGATGTACACTAGGACTTTTTTTTTTTCCATACAGCAATACCTCGTTTGTCTGAACACACTTCATCGGGAATTATTTTCCAAGCTACAAGAAGCATTAACTTGAAATCCAATACTCTCTTCCTGCCCACGGAAATGATGCACATGAAATGATGATGGTGCACCCAAGAGCTTGTTGTGAAGTACATTCCTTCTCAGTTTGAACATTGTTTAGGCTCACGCAGCATTTCATGACAACCTGAAGCAGCAGAACTGCTATTTATGCCTTAATAGCCAAATCAAAGCAAAACTAGAAGTATCTTTAGGGTCACTCAGGAATAATTATTTGAGTGAAGTTTCAGGGAAACAGTGGGGGGAGCTGTTTCAATCCAATCAACACATTTAACTTGCCCTAAAAGAATTCCTACTCTCTACTGCACCTTAGTTTATTAGACTTAAAAGCTGTTTTAATTCAGATTCTTTTTTTTTGCAACCTCCCTTCCATCCTACACTGTGCTCCCATTGTACATAGAAGCATCAGCTAATGAGGCAAGTGATAGTCACTGACATTTTTATAACAGCTTATATTTTCAGGTGAAAATTGTGTTAAGGCCCATATTTCTGGGGTAAGCACAAACTGTCTTTACCCAATTTTGTTCAAAAATCACACCCTTAACTGCAAGGTTTGCTGAGGTTTGTAGCAGCACATCTTGATGCTTATTTAAAGGTAATTAAGCATTGGCCAAACCCGAAGATTTACATCTCAGTACCTCTGGCAAAAAGGGGAACATATTCATTGCTCTTTATGCCACCTTGCTTTTCTCTTTTGCTTATAAAACTAGAGGATAATGGAAACCCATTTCCCAGAGTGAGGAAATGATTTCATGGCACATGGATATCAGGGACAGAATTTTACACTTATTGTCCAGTCCTTGTAAACTTACACAAATCTGCATTTTGGGTCTGGCTTTGTGAGGTTTTTAGGTCTGAACCAGTATTTAAGTGTCTGCAGGAGAGAAAGCCGGCACACCAAATACAGCGAGCGCTGTTCTCAAACAGTTGGCATTTCTTTGCTAAAAATGAGCCTTATTTCTGTCTGAAAACATCCATTTGGGATACTGGAGTGGAATGCCCCACTTCCCACCCTGCTGTGGGGACCTGCCTGGGTGGCCTCTGTCTGTAGGTGACGGTGGGGCTCCTTCCCAAGTCACTGTAGGGTACCTGTGTCAAGTGCCTTGTCCAAAGCCATCTCCAGGGAAGTCATGGAGTGTTAAGGATCGTGTGACAGTCCCCCTCAGCTGGCCACAGGTGACGTCTGGCACAGTAGGAAAGCACGGTCTCTCTTCAGTGGCTTGAGGAAAACCTTAGTAAGGACAAAGCAGTAGCACTTCTGACATACAGTGCCAATTCCAAGCAAAATCTTGTACAGAAGCAACTGGGCACCTCACTGCATTATATGTTCACATATCAGTTGGAACACAAGCCTTTTTCCTGAAATTATTGTCTTCAGTCAAAGCAGGTCTTTTAAACCCTTTCAACACCTCCATGCTTTTAGCAACATGCTGCACCCATGGTCTGCTCTGCTGTGCTATGGATATAAGCACTGAGAAAATCTAGTCATCCAACTTAAAATTTGACTTTTTTTTAATCAGAGCCCTTGGGCAATTGATGGTCACAAGGAATTCATGTCAGATGCTTTCCTCAAGACCAAATCCAGTAAAGAGTGTTTACATACCAGGTTCTGTGGGCTCTAAGTTTACACACAAGATCTTTTGTGAAGGTTACCTATAAAAGAAAAAAAGAAAAATTGGTCAAATGCAGAGCACCAGAACAGTTTATGTGTCAGGCCTGATCCATCATCTTTACAACTCAGCTGCTGTCGTGATCGCTTAGGTTGGTAATTAAGAAAAGCAAGTAAAGCAAACTGGATAGCATTCCATACTCCACACAAATCCTGAGTATTAAAAGGTGTGGTGACTCGTCATCTGCAAAATGGGAAACAGAGCAAGCATTTCATTAGAGAGCCCCTGCTTTAAATCAGCATGAGCAAACTAAGGCAGAGACCCCATCCCAGGTTTCTCCATGCCTTATTCAACCAAGCCAATGTTTACATAAGAGCTGTTTATTCCTTTCTATCCCTGCAGAGGGGATGTGTGCTGACCGTGGCACAGCTTTATGGTTTGGCTGCGTTCCCACAGAACTGCTGCTCGTGCCTCTGCACACAGATTAAGTGTCATACACCTCTGGCGCCTTACAGGGTTTTTCTAGCAATGTGTTGCTAAACAATCATCCTTTGTATTGCACAACTAAACGTGTTTGTGGCCAGCTTTTGTGCCGCTTGGTGTGCTTCAGTGCCAAAAATCCTTGCAAAAATCTGCTTTCTTGGTGCATGTTTCAAGATGTCGGGGAGACGGAGCCAGCCAGGCTCAGCACCCTCAGAGGGGCTTGAGGGGCACAGCTCTGCCTGTTTTGGGCTTTGGCATTAGGAAAAAGGGCTCCTTTTCCCCTACATCAAAGAGAAAATAGGGTACATGTGAACAGGAAGCATTTTCCTCTACAGTTTGCAGCCTAAGGCCATGCCCTTCTGCTAAGGAGGCTTAAAACAAAATGAGAAAAGCCATCCGTAACTTTTTAAATTCTCATTTGTTTCAGCACTAAGTTAATTTTGAGGACTGAAATGCAAAAGAAAAAACAAACGAGCAACAAAAAGCAATCACATAATTCAGCTGAGGAAGGCAAGAGCTGGTGAAAGCATGACCAAATACTGAGGAAGCTGCTTATGAGGGACCTGCTTTTGCACAGATCGTTGCGATTCTGCTGAGGTAAAATAAAATTGTGATTAATAAAAGGTATCCAGGGCAGTTTGAAGAGGCTGAAATTGGAAGACGAGAAGGTCTTCCTGTGGGAGGCGGTTTTGGGGTAGGAAAGGGGCTCTGCGCAGAAGCTTCTCGTGGCCCTCCCTGATGGTTTCTGGGCACCATTTTACCTCACGAAGGGTGGGGGCGCCTCGAGCCCCCCGCCGCCATCTTAGGGGGCTGTGAGGGGAGCCCTGCGTGGCAGGGGGCTCCAGGACACCCCCGGCACCCAGCCCTCACCAACACCTCAGAAACCCTCCCAAACCTCCCAAAGTCACCACAGGGCTCCCTGCCCACCCCTCCAAGTGTTTTTATGGCTAACACCTGTGGGTAATCGGGGTTAACGAGGGACAGCGGTGCCCAGGGGCAGCCTGAGGGGAGCCCACACCTGAGGCGCTGCAGGAGGACGCACACCTCAGCTTGATTCTGTGGAGAAAAGGTGAGTAAATTTGTATTTTTATGCATTTTTTTTCCCTCATGGGACAGCATGACCTGCTATGGAGCAACTGGGTCAGGGTTGAAGGGGAAAAACAGCAAAATTGTTGGGAAGTAGGTGCTTTGGGTGTTGGGTTTTCACAGGGGTGTCCAAGGGGAGGGAGGGCCCCAGCATGTGGGGATGTGAGGGGGTCTCAGTGTGGCAGAACTTGCCCTCATCCCTTGGCTCCTGTCCAGAGGAGCAGACAGGACAGGTACAGAGTTTGTACTTATCTGATCCCAAGGATATCCCACTCCAGTAGCATCCAGTTTTATGCTGCCCAGACCTCCATCACGCCACAGGAAAGGGGAACTGTGTGCTTCCTATGAGCTGCCCCAAAATGGGGCAGTTATGAGGTAATGCAGTGCAAAGTTTGAGGCTGACTTTTTGAAAATGAGTGATGAAGTTGCTTTTGGTTACTAAATGTTGAAACTGGGTCTGAGGGAGCAGGATGGGGAGAAGACGAGGGAAGAACACAACTGTCACCTCTTGCAGACCTGGTCACCTTGTTGCTTTGTACAGTGAACGTCAGTTAATTTCGTATTTGTTTTGTTTGGAGGAAATTGTCACGCACTACTTTGTTTGTAAATTCTGTGGGAAGTGACCTTCCTAGTTTCCCACGCCCCACCTCAACCTGGAGCGCCCCTCAGCTGCCCCAGCACACACTTACCCCACACACCGTTTCTGGGTGCACAGTGTCCTCCGTCTTTTGAGGCTGTGACAGTCAGTGTCACATGCAGGCTCGTGTAGCCACAGAGTCACTCAAATGGCCTATTTCTGTCAAGTGAAGTTAATGTGAACCGCTCAGGGAGAAGTTATTTTTTGAGAAGACAAAGCTGCTGGTCTGTCTTAGCCCTCACTGCTCTTCTGGATTCTGCGTGAAATTTTAACTCCTATCTACTATTTCCAAACTCACCTTTTTTTTTTTAAATAGTTCATTATTTGTTCTCCTCTCCTTAAGTGTGAGGTGAAAACATACATCAATTCATCTGTATTGGTAGAATCATTTAGATTAGAAAAGACCCTTCATATCAAGTGCAACAGTTAACCTAACACCACTAAATCCACCGTGTCCCCAACTGTCCCTCCACATCTTTTAAATACCTGCAGGCATGGTGGCTCCACCACTTCCCTGGGCAGCTGTTCCACTGCAGACGTTTTTCCTCGTACCCAACTAAATCTCCATGTTATAACACAAAGCCTCACAGCTGCTTCTCAGGAGGTCTCGAGGTCCGATTTCCCTTGCTGTGATGCTGTAAGGAAGTACAGTGGTGACTGCACACTATGCAGGATTTTAATTAAAAAAAAAAAAAAAAAGGCAAAAAACCAAAATCTGCATCTTTAGGCCATGCTGTGGTTCTTCCAGCTCCCTGCTTTCCCATTCACCGTGTCCCTCACTCTGCCTGCAGCAGGGCACACTGTTCTGGCTTTTCCAAATCGCTCCAGCAGGAGAGAAAGTCTTGTCACCACTCCAGGAACCAGCCAGGGCACTCTACATTTCCCAGTGTCACTTAGAGGAACAGGATTATTTATAGCTCTGGGACACAGGAGAACAAAACTCAAGCAGCAGGAAGTGCTGGCAAAGGGATGCTTCCTTCCTACCCTTTCTCCTGTTTTGTGGTCTCCTTAGTGGTAACTGCCAGCACTAAAAAGCAGGATAGGCCTAATTAATTATTGGGGAAAGTCCAAGAGGGGGGTAGCCCCCTTGAGGGCACTGTTTGTACCCTGAGCACAGCAGTCAGGAACACTTGGGGCCAGCCTACCTGGCAACCAGGACTGCCAGCTTAAGGGCAAAAAACCAGGATTAGCTTTATTCTTGTCAGTTCTGAGACACAGACCTCACCTGACCAGGGCAGGCAGGAGCAGGCACACCCAGACCAGCTGTGAGCTCCTCTGTGCCTCAGCTACATAAGGGCCTCGTACCTTTTCAGTGCTGTACACTGCACTTAGCTACCTGCAGCCAGGTAATGTGACAGAGGGGGAAACGAAAACTATCCTCTTTTCCCCAGCTCCCCACCCCAAACACCCTGCAAAATAAAACAATCTCAAGACTTCCTTGACAAGGCAAAGCATCAGCAAGGCTGCCTTCATCCTTTTCCTAGTAAAGGCATCCCAGCCTCTAAAAACTAACCTCAAATCCCATAAATAATGCAGTAGATGCAGGGCAGGAATTGAAAACACCATTATCCATGCCCATCCTGCAGCATGGCCAGGCTCCTGCCATCTCCCATGGGGGTGCCCAGCTCTGGGCAGCTGCTGCAGTACAGGTCAGGACAGTGTTGCTGACATGAGGGCAACAGCCTTGCAGCCTGTCAGCCTTCCCATGAAAAGCCTGGAATGGCTCAAATCCTGGGCAGTGTTGTACTGCCCCTACCCAAGCAGCTGGCCTAACTGCTCAGCTGTTGAAGGAGCAGCAAATGCAGCCCTGCTGATGGATTAGCCAACAGGGATCACATTCCAGCAGTGGAGCAGCATTTGGCTAAGTAAGGCCTCAGCTGTGCAGGCCATTGACTGAGCTGCACCAGGGCAGCACTGTCAGTCACAGAGCCAGCCCCCAAACCTGGGCAGCCTGTCCAGGCTCCCAGTTCCCCACAGTACATAGGACTTCTTTACCTTCCACCAGGTCCTCAAATGCCACATCAGTCCCAGCTCCAGCTCTCTCCTGGGTCAGCATGGTTAGCAGGATGCTGGGAAGGAGCAGTAGCAGACACACTCCAAGGCATTGCATGAGCAGAAAGCTTGTAAGCACAAAAGACTGTTCACTAAGCTTTTTTGTTCATCTGCCTAACTGCAGTTATTTGTTTGGTGCACTCAGGATTTAATACCTGTGGTAACCTAGTTCTGTACAGCCCTTAAGCTGCACCTGGGGTGTAGCAGTCCAGCATTACAGACACTGTCCCACAGGCTGCCACGTGGCCTGTCAACCATACTGGGTATGTTGCTCAGCCCCTGACTTTGTGGTACCTGATACCGGGTCTCTGTGTTAAGACCTCAGTTCATGAGGCAGCACAGACAGCCTGATCCTCTCACGACCTCACACCTAAGCTTTCTGTCAGGCTTCACCTTTCACTCCACATCTGTTTCCTGGCAAGTGCAGTCAGCCTGACCCGCCTGCTCTTTTCTGCTGCTCGGGTATGCTTGTGCCAGCCTGCAATGCACCCGAGTGCTGAGCATGGTCTTGGAAAGCAAAGCTATTTGCAAGAGCACAAGCCATGCCTCGTGTTACCTGTCAGTCCCTCATCCCCAGCAAGGAGATGGGAGCAGCTTTTCTTGGTCAGAGATAGCACAATGAACACCCCATATACCCCTGTTTAAGCTTCCCTGGCTGGACTAATCCCAGATTTTAGAAACCAGACAGGGACCACTTGGTCCAACAAGGTGAAGGGAGCAACTACTGCTAAGGCAGCTTTACTCACAGTCAGTCATGCTTTGCCTGGCTTGTGTCTAAATCAGTACCACCTGCAAATCCACAGTGTAAGGAGGCACGTGGTTGGATACATATCCCCTCCTTGCCCACCCCTGTAGCACACACAGGAGCAAGCAGATTAGAGCAGGAAACAGCAGAGGAAGCAGCCATTGCAAGTTTGGGTTTATTTCACTATGCATGGGGCAGAAAACAAAACAAACCAAGCTCTAACTGTTAGCTGAACTTAATGGCTTTGACTTTGAAGTCACCCTCCACAGCCAGGTACTGAATTTTCTCCATGCCCAGCCGATTAGGGAACTTGAACTCCGCTTCAGGCAGCTTCACCGTGGCCTCAGTTTGATCAAAGGAGATGCACATCTGTAGAGAGCCACAAGGAGAAAGGTTAACACATCACAGCTCCCAGGCCTCCCTCATTCCCCACTACTCCAGTCTGGGTGTGGGACAGGCGAGGGGGCTGCTGGTGCAAGGCCATGCTCACCAGCTCAGCCTCCTCCCTGCCCAGCAGAGGCATGGAGGGCAGGAAGGGGGTCTGCTCTGCCCCGAGGTCAGCTCCAAGTTTCTGCAGCTCCAGGATAAGACAGACCCAGTCTGAGTCTCAGGGCACTGTTTTAACTGCTCTGAGTTGTGTGCCCTTTACACATCTGAGCTGTGGGGCATTGGCTTGACAGCTCTTTGGCTTTAGCTGCAAGACTCTTCTCCTGCTGCTTATTCCCTTTCCATACCTGCTCCTTCTGCTCCACAGAGGCACAGGCAGCATTAAAGAGCTGTGCTCTTGGCCCTTCAGTGCTCAGTACCAGGCCCTTGTGCACCCTCAGGCCTCACCTCAATCTTGTCACCATGCTGGAAGGGAAAGTCAGCCTTCCTGTCCTCCTCACCCCACGTGCCATCCTCCTTGGAATTGCACACGATGGTGTTGATGTCCCCATGACAGTCGAAGCGAGGGTTGAAATGCAGCATGAGGGTGTTGCTGTCCTTCCCAACGTTCACAGCAAACCTGGGGAAACAGTCAGTGCCAAGGAGGTGCCTGTGAAGCAGCTCCAGCTACCCAGAGCTGGCAAGCTGAACACAGCAGGAGCTCTGTTCACACCCCAGTGCCACATCAATTCATTCACCGTGATCCTCCTCACTCACCCTTTGGCATCAGACTTGATCTTCCCTTTGACCTTGATGCACTCACCAGGCTCGATGTCCAGCTGAGTAACGACCAGTCCCTGCAGGGCCAAACCACAGGGGTTAGTCTGTCCCAGGGCAAGGCTTCCAGTCCTGCTTGGGCCAGGGCACAAAGCAGCTCTGGCAGACCCAGACACCAGTTCTGTGCTAGAGGAAGGGTTGAGTCAGGCCCAGCTGCCACAGGGATCTCCCACTCCCCTAAGGTGACACAGAGTCTGGTGGCTTGACCCTGGCTACATGCCAGGTGCCTGCCAAAGCCGTTCTATTCATGCCCCTCCACAACAAAAGGTTCATGAGTTGAAATAAGGACAGGGAGAGGTCACTCACAGATTACTGTCACGGGCAAAACAGACTCGACTTGCATAAATTAATTGAATTTATTATTAATCAAAATCAGAGCAGGATAATGACAAGTATAACAAACCTTAAGAACACATCCCCCCCACCCTTCCCTCCTTCCCAAGCTCTACCTCCTCTCCCCGCCAGAGGCACAGGGAGACAGGGAATGGGGATCAGTTCACCACAGGTTGTTTTCTGTCACTGCTCAGGGAGATAAGTCCTTCCCCTGGTCCACCATGGAGTCCTTCCCACAGGGAACAGCTCTCCATGAGCTTTTCCAACATGAGTCCTTCCCATAGGCTACAGTTCTTCACAAACTGCTCCATTGTTGGTCCATTACACAGGTTCAAAGCCTTCTTTCAGGCATCCACCTACTCCAGCTTGGTCTCCTTGTGGATCTCTGCCCCCCACAGACCTCCATGGGCTGCAAGGCACAGCTGCTTTACCATGGTCTTCACTGCAGACTGCAAGGGAACCTCAGCTCTGGCTCCTGGAGCACCTCTCCCCTTCCTTCTTCACTGACCCGGGTGTCTGCAGGGCTGTTTCTCTCGCATATTCTCACTCCTCTCTTCTCAGAGTGCAATTCCTTCTGCGCCACAGCTTTTGTTCCTTAAGCATGTTATCACGGAGGCATCGCTGCCACCTCCGACGGGCTGGGCCTTGGCCAGCAGCAGGTCCCTCCTGGAGCCAGCTGGCATTGGCCCTGCCGGACATGAGGGAAGCTTCTGGCAGCTGCTCACAGAAGCCACCCCTATAGTCCCCCCACTCCCCGAAACGGCCATGCAAACCCAACACAGGAGGGGATTCAAGAGCAGGGGACAGGCACTGCTTTACCAGCTGCTGCAGAATAAACGTTGCGGAGCTGTACCTAACCACATCACCTCAGGTAGGGAGACCAATTGCAAACTAGTTGACTTGGGCACTGCCACCCAGCCCCAGCTGTCGCTGCCCTCCTGCCTGCTCCGTGCTCTGCCCACACCCAGACTGCCGAGGTCAGGTTCCCCCCCGGACTCACTAAACCACTTATCTCCACGGCACTAACTCTGCCTTCTGGCTCTGCTTCTAGTGCAGCGCTGGAACTCAGCGCCCAGGGGGTCTTTCGAGGAAAGTAAAGCTGGGGGGGCAGGGGTGGGTTAGAATACACTGCCAGCCTGCTTTCCTCTCCTGTTACAATAGGAGTTAACCCAGCCCTGTACCCAAAAGGCATTTTGCCAAAGGGAAAATACAAAGTTTAAAGGGAAAAAAAAAAAAAGTATAAAGGGTATTCAAACTGTAGAGTTACAAATAGACCCAAACCTTTAGACTACTTGAGGATAGAAACATTCCTCAGCTTTCCCACTTATAACATGCTCGAGGAGGAGAGGAAAACCGGCTGGTCAGCCCTGTTCCTCCCACAGCCATGTATCAGCCTCGCACTTCCTCTCAGCTCATTCTTTTCTCCTCCTACCTCTGGCACCAGGCCCAAAGTCCATGCACAGCCCAGCCCTAGTCCTGCTTGTCACACCAGCCAGAAAAGGCACTCACTTGCTCCATGCTGCAGACACCAGCCCCACCAGGCAGGACACCCCCGAGCCCCTTCTCCACAAGCCGGAGTAACGCAGCGCGCAGCTCCAGCAGCTTAAATCCCTCGGGCAGGACTATCACATGATTGGAGTGGGGGGGGCGACGGTGCTGATCGATTGCAGCTGTTCGGGGACGGAGCTTCCCAGCCATTTAAAGGGGACAGCGGGAGATCTGTAGCGATACTGCTCTTTGCAGGCAGAAAGTGTATGATTTTAAGAGCTAAGTGGTTGTTTGCTTCTGCGTGATCCTGGCAATCCTTGCTGTAAGCTCTCCTAGCTGCTATGCAGTGTCTCTTGGCTCCTATCCCAGGAGCCGGAGTGCAGCTCTGTGATAGCAGCGAGGTGCTTTTGTTAAGCGATCTCTGTCTAAAATCAGATTGGAGTCCTCGTGTTACTGCTGCAAAGTGAGTGCCTCTGTGGATACGTGTTCTCCCAGCCCAGCCTCGTGCCTGCAAGGCCTGGACTGACGGGAGCCCCTGGGTACAAATCATCACTGCCTGCACTGAAATGAAACTCAAGGGTTTGGTATACTCCATGTCGGTATTTAAAAAGTGCCTGACAGTTCAGGTTGGTGGCGTGGGGCTCTAGCAGATGTGAGAATTCAGGCTGCATCTTTTGAAAAGTAGCCTGATCTCTCTGGTTCCATTCCAGTTGCAAAAGGCTCCAGAGGGAAAAGAGAAATGCTTTGTTAGCTGAGGAAGAGGCAGGACAGGCCAGTGTGCAGCTGAGGGGACAGGAGAGGCGCCTGCTCTCCCAGCCAGTCCCTAATGCCTGCTATTCCCCTTTCCTAAATCCCTTAAAAGCACCCAGCATGACTGCCCCGAGGGCCTTTGCAGGGCAGGGCGGTGAAGGTGGGAGCAGCTGGAGTGCTTTGGGGGCCTGTGTCACAAGTCAGCTTGTACTTTGCAGTGGCTTTAGCAGTGTCCTCAGCCCTCCGTGCCTCAGTTTCCCTCATACCTGCAGTGACACTACTGACATGCAGCTTCACAATCCCACCTGTAAACCCGCAGTCAGAGCTGCTGGATAAATGCAAGGTGCTACTTGTTGGCCGAGTCACGACCAGCCTGTGAGGCACCTGCCTGCAGGTAACTTTTGGAAGGGCTGCACAGGGCACCTCACAAAACAGTGCAGGAATTTATGGCTGGGTAGCAGTGGGAAACATGGTGCCCTGCAGGGGGCTGCTGGAACTTCATTAGAGCAGCGTGCTCATGGTTACAGGCACAGCATCCTGACTCCTGACACCATCCTTTGTCCCAGATATCCCCCACACCCATTTCAGAACATTCCCGTGGCATTTCAGCAAAGCTGAGCTGTGTTTGAACTAGAAAGTCACCACCCTGGATTGGAGCCCTGTGACTGGGATGTGTAAGAGAGGGCAAAATGCTGACTGAAAGTGCTGCAGGGAAAATCCTGCAAATGCTCTGGCATCCAACTAACTCTCTGGTCGTCCTGCACATACACAAGAGCCATACTGCCGTCAGGAGTTAACTGGGAACAGAGTTGGTGCAGGTAGCAAATGCCACCGAGAGCAGGCCTCCTCCACACAGAGCTGGGAGAAGCCCAACTAATTCCACCTTAAGTTAGCCCCAATCTCTAGCAATTTTAGCTGGGATCACGTGTTAGAGACAGGCTTTGGATGCCTGCTTGCTGTGCCTGAGTTACTGTGCAGTTGTTCTCTGGGTCACTGCCACTCGTGAGGGGTTGAGCAAATGCTGTTTGGTCAGTTGGGTTTGTGTATTTGTTTTCTGTTCAGCTCTGTGAAATCCCTGGAGACTTCTCTCCTCCTTTCAGTGCTGGGGCCGTGCAGTGCCACAGCGTTGGCCACTCTGACGCCACTTCAAAAATGCACATTTTATGTGAGCT